GGTTGCCAATTGTTAGGTTTGCTCTAACTTTGTTGGTATTTGTAGGCAAATTTGCTATGATTTTGGGATCTTTTGGTGTGCAACCCATGCTATGTAAATGGAATTCATGGTTTGATAATTTGTTTTGGATTAATTTCTTCAATTTTGCACTAAATTTTAGTAGAGATGTTATCCTTGGAGGATTTGTCATTCACAATCCATGTTATGTGAGTAGGTTCCTTATGTATTCATATATCTATAACGTACATTTTAATTTTTATATAGAAGTCATTTTATCTATGCATAAAAAGGTGTATTCACTTTTCAAAGTTGAAATAGTGATCTTTTTGATGTGATATGAAAAGCTTTAGGTGATATAAATACAAAAAAGGTTAGTTTTTTGATAAGTAGACACATAAGAATTAAGCAGTGAGTAAATGTCCAATCTTGTTTACAACTAGGTTGTGTGATATGAAAGTTAAAAAGGTATTTTTATTGTGTGATGGGAATGAATTTACATACAACCGTTCAATTTCTACTTATTATTTTATCTACTAACTAGGTTTCAATTTATACACATTTTGTATGCTAAAATGGAGCTAATTTTGATTTGATATGGAAGATTTAGATGTGGTACATGTTAGAAATCAATTTTAGGTGTTAGATAATGTAAATGCATACCAATTGGATGGTATGTATGTAAATGCTCCTAAATACTATGTTATTTTTAGGAATAGGGGTGGTGTGTATGTAAATCTATGCGCATTAGTGGTTGTTCAATCAATATTTGGATGATTTGCATAGAAACAAGTCAACTCTTATGCCTTCATATAACCGTTTCTCTTCCTTGTTGCTGTGATTTTCGGCCTTGTCTGCATTTATAATTATATGTTTTTGTATTTAGTATGGTAATGACACATTGCAAGATATATATATAATGTTGGCTTCGATGGTGATGTTTTTTACAATGTTATGTAGAGCAATAACGGAAAAAAACAAATAGTTTAACCGATCACAATTGGTGTTTACTATTTAAAATGTGGTGCGGATTAGTTAATGCTATTTTCTCTTCCATATTTCCAAAATCTAAGTTTTAAGGCTATAACTTTATAATTGCATATTTTTCTCATATATATTTTATTGTTGAATATGTCCCTAATATTTTTTTGTTGTTCTATTGCATATATAGTCTAATTTATAGATTAAGCATAATATATTACAATATCAGAAAAAATGAGTTCAAAGTCATCACATGCTTCAAGAGTAGTGTCGTCATTTTGATATGTAGTGTTCCATAAACACATCAGAAAGATAAAGCAGCTATGAGAAGAGATTATTGTTGTTCTAAAAATAAGACATTTGAATATTGCAGATTTTTTAATCAGCTGATGATATGGAGGAATTCACTCTAAATGGTGAACAAGCCAAGAAAGATGTTATAGACAAAAAAGTTATCATGAATACTTGATCGTTTGGACATGAAAGAAAACATCATTATAACATTACTTATTATAATTTTAATTATTGTAAAATTATGTGTAAAGTACAACAACAACAACAAGGCCTTAATCCCGCTACTCGAGGTCGGCTACATTAATCCTTTTTCTCCATTGTGTCCTATTTAGTGTCATATTTTCATTTAGTTCTAATAAATTAAGATCTTTTTTTATACAAAAAGCCCAAGTCTCCCTAGGTCTACCTCTACCTTTCTTAACATGTCGAATCTAAAGCATTTACTCTCCTAATCGGATCATTAGATAGTCGACGCTTAAAGGTCGACGCTTAAAGTAACCAAACCCTCTAATTTTGTCCGTCACAAGAGCTACACCAACCCTATCACGGATATCATCATTTCCAACCCTATCACGG